AAATGGGGAGGGAGGGCATGGTATTTGGTGGGGGGAGAATAATCTGTACAGGAGGACTGTTAATTGGGAGTTGTTCACACCATTCTTTCGAAGGAGGGGAGTTTCCCGCCAAGGCCAACTGTCTGGCATACCAACCTGATGATGATTTTTGAAGATGTCTCCCACCTGACAGCTGTGGAGATATACAATTGGACTATGGACTGGGGTACCAAGGGGAGGGGAATGAATCATATATTGATATCTAATGCTTTTGCGCGCTTTTGCTCAGATCCAGCTTTGCTTAGCTTCTCATTACTTATAATCAGTAAAAGTACTCTTAATTCTGCAAACTGGAGTTGAGTTTCTTTCTTGGTTATTAAGTGAAGGAGCCGTGACACTGCCTCTGTTTACCATCACACTATTAATGACTGTGGACTTTTGTCAGGGAAATCCATGCTTCCACAGCTTTCAACAGAAAAGAAATGGGGCACTTAAATATAACTCATAATATACATTTAAAAAATATAGTATCGCACACAATCAAAAATAAAAGGTATATGTGTCTTTGTGTAGACTGTTACAGAAATACTTGGATTAGTTAAGTAGAATGTTGTTTCTCTATCCCAGCCATGTCAAATACACAGCCTGTGGGCCGAATCCAGCCCTTGATAGGCCCAGAGTTGTTCTGTGGTGACTTCCTGGAGACATAGAGGCACCAGCCTGTGCCACCCCAGCCCTGGCCAACCCTGACCCCATCCACCCAGGCAGCTTTGATGGTCAGGCCAGGCCCACCCTGGGTCCCCAAGGACAAACAATATCCCAATAGAGCCCACAGTGGGATCAAGTTTGACACCCTGTTGAATCCATTTCCATTTAGAAGACCGTCTTTGCTTTGTCTACATTTGGATGGCTGTGTACAGCTAAATAGAGCCCATTTAAATAATATTTCACAACAGTGATTTTTCTAGACATTTCAGATTGTTTGTTTAACCTTTCTCTTGTTTCAAATTCCAGTTCTCTCTTTTTTTATCTGTACAGATTATGTTGCTTACGGATCCTGAGATTGAAAGCAGCCTGCTGATCAGTTCTGATGAAGGAGCCACCTATCAAAAATACCGGCTGAACTTCTACATCCATAGCATGCTCTTTCATCCCAAGCAGGAGGACTGGATTTTGGCATACAGTCAGGATCAGAAGGTTAGTATTACTTTTATGCTCTGCTAGGACCAAATCTATTATTGGACAGAATAAAGTGTCAGTTAACAGCCAGCATATCAGGAAAGACAGCAGATTCAAAGGATATACCTGACATTTACCTCCTCTAATTGCTCCCTAAAATAACCAAGGGCTCAATTTATATATTGATGAGTACATTAGATTTGTAAGTCTGAAAAGTAGAAGATGGACAAGAAAAAGAATTAAACCTGTTTTAATTTCTTTAACTTCTACATCTAATTAAATTAATGTGGTTAGTATCCATTCATGTATTTAATTATTTTCCTCTTGTGTCACATTCAAATTGGAATAGGCATAAAGCTCTGGAAATCAAGGCAACTCATCATTCCAGAGACTCTTACCTGGTCAATTCCTCATTAATTTAAGAAGCCCTAGAGTAATCATGGAAGTTGGTTTATGCTTTGCTCAATATGTCTTTGCAGGATAGGTGCTACACAACTTTACATAAAGTATATCATATTAAATGCCTATCTTTTAACACAGAAGTAGGCAACCCGCAGCACTGGAATGGCAAGCAATATTCCTATATTGCTCCCTACTCGCCGCCCCCCTTTTTGGGGGGAGGAGATACATGTTTCTTTAACCATGATTTGAGAGCAGGGTTTCTTATGATTTTGGGAAGGGAAACGCACCCAATTACAATTTCAAGCACTTGGCAGGAAAAACTCCATAAACTATGAGGATTTATGAAATATAAAAAATAAAACTCCAAAATCCTTCCTAGAAAAATGACAAGAGCAAGAAAATCCTGATTTCAGCCACTTTACTTCATCACTCTTCCTTTTGGTTCCAAAACATATTAAATGCCGTCTCTAGGTGGCCATAGATTGTCCATTCCTGCTCTGAATTTTTTTTGTAAGTGAGATACCTGCATTATGTTGTTTATAGAGGGTAGATACAACAGGTGGATGGGAGAATGTCAAATGACTGGCCATTAGGCCAATGAACAGGCCACTAGGCAGGTGAATTCGAATGATAAGAAAGCAGCAGTGAACATTAGTTAGCAGCAAATATTTGTTTTACCCTCCAGGTGATGGTTATCCCAGACTGTCTTTATTCTTAGATGCTATTTCCTTAAGCCACAGATTGGTTAGGGAACAGTTTTGTACCTGGCTTCTTTTTCTGACAAAATGGGAAAGAATTCACATGCATTTGTAGGTAATGTAGACATTTAGTTCTGCATGTCTTTAGATCATTTAATAAAATCATGTAAGCTAATGTATCATGATATTTGATTCAACATATTTAAAGCATGCACAACAGATCATCAGTATCATCCAAAATATTTTAATATTCATAAGTACAAATCCTGGCGGTTAACTGAATTAGTTTACTCTAGAAGATTTAAATCAAGTCAATTCTACTAGATTTTTGAGACACCACATTCTTAAAGTATCCCTAAAAACAATTTTAGCTTTCTGTCACAAAGCAGGGCAAAATATCCTGAGCATGAACAAATTGACTTTATTTAAAGAAAAATACATATATATCATTTAGCAGGCACTATTCAAATAGCCTGTCTCCAAGTATTAAATTTATTTCTATCCCTTTCTCCCCAAATAAGGTTTATGAACAATTTTGCTAGGACAAAAATAAAAGAAATACTCAGTTTCTTCATACATTTTCAGCAAATGACTCAGATATTTTATAAATATGACAGAGTTCAACGTTGAAAAGAGAGATTAAAAGAATGGGATGGGACAAAATTACCAAAGGAAACAAAAATGTCAAAGTAAACATATTAATTTTGAATATTTTTACTAATAACAAAGAAACATATATTCCATTACAAAAATCAGCCCTGTGTTTTACAAGATTGTGTTTACACTCTTGTGTTTTACAAGATTGTGGAATGAGGGCTTTCCTGAGATCCTTATGGCTCCCATCTGATGGTATTCTGTAAGACCTTGAAAACCTCTCCAGGTTTGGGTTGAGATTCTCCTATTTGTAATGTTTTATATCTTTAGAAGATAATTGTCTGTATTACCATCTTGTAATTATCTTGTAATCACCTTATAATTATTCAGGTTCGAGTATTGTATGTCCTTGTTTTTATGTTGTTCTTTACTCTGTGAGTGGTCCATCTTTTGAACAGCATCAAAACTGAAAACATAGAAATTCACCATTAATGTCACAGAAACACCATTGGGAATTTATACATTAGTTTTCATAAAGCCTTGTTCCATAGATATCCCATGGAAGTGTTTTTCCAATTATTCTATCAAATACTTTCAGTCTGCCCAAGTTCTGTCGATAATAACCATAGAATTGGCCCCTTGCTACTTTCATTTGCTTACATGGGGAAAAAAATCAGTTCCTCTACTTTGTAGCCTTGTACAATTTGCCATGTTATGGCAGTGGCTGTGATAAGTACATATGTTTTTAATCTATAAAAATGATTAAACAAATTCCAGAAGAACATTATTAGATTTCAGCTGATAATGAGCTGCCAGGTTCAAAGTTAACGTCTGACTATCACTGAGAAATAAGCAAGAGATGGCTACGAACCTGCCAAAGTACTATCTGAAGTCACTCAGTTTGTTTGGTCTATTTCACCTAAGTTTAAGGGGGGGAAATAGTACCCTTGAATTGTACCTAAATTTCATTATAGGCAGATAAAGGGGAAGAAATATAAATTATTGTATAGCTAGATCAGTGGTGGGATTCAGGTAATTTAACAACCAGTTCTCTGTCCTAATGATTTCTTCCAACAACCAGTTTGCCAAGCTACTCAGAAAGTTAACAACCGGTTCTCTCGAAGTGCTATGAACTGGCTGAATCCCACCACTGAGCCAGATTAAACATAAACAGTATAGCCAAATGGTCACCATTTGCTGACCAATTGAAGGCAAAAGGGCTTTTATATGAAGAACTATGTCAGGATAGAGAAATGAAATATATGATTATTAAAAACACAAATGATGTCATATGTGAACTTTTGTGCTCTCAAAATAATGCAACACACAGCCATTAATGTCTAAACTGTATGAATAGTGTGAAAATTTCCCTCTGGATCTAGTAGATATTCACTTGTTTTACTCTTAAAAAGAATATCAATACATAAAGTTTGATTTTACCTTCATCATGTGTGCATGTGTGGATATCGGTAGATATATGTATCTGATCATTTTAATGATGCTGATATAATTTTATTGTTATATTTTCATGTTTATTTCATATTTTATACCCTATTTTACAATTGTGCACCACCTTTATTCTCTGGAAAAGGAAAATAAAACAATATTAGAAGAGAAAATATCTTTATTATATTTCACTTGGTTGTATAGTACATTGCTTGACTCCCCACATTCAGTGTCACTGGACATGTTCCCCTTGGTCCTTGGAAATCATAAATAAGTGTGTGTGGGGGGGACCCAATGGCTACTGCTGAACACAATTGCCTATCCCTGGAATGTTATCTGATATAGAATTATAGTACTTATTTTCTTCAAATATCTTGATATATAAATTAAAGATTTTGAAGAAATTATCCAAACAGCTAATATCTTTTCAATTTGTGGATATCAAGTACTTGTCATTTCACAAAATACTTGTGTAAGAAAAGAGAATCATGTTAGAGAACATTGATTAGAAGTAGCTTTGCCTAAACACATTAATGATGGTGTAATAGTTATTTCTTTTGTTTTGTTTGAAAAATTAAAATGGCATGACAGGAAAGAAAAACAAGTGGTTGGACTGTTAATTTCAGTACATTTTAAGTAATCTTTTCTTTTGTTTAGAGAACTATTAGAAGGCTTGGTCAATATCAGTGGTCCCCATCAAGAATAAATGAATAAGAACTCAGACACCCAGTGAATCATATTAATGGCTTTTGTGCAACTTGACTGGTTGCTTGGATTTTCATTTTCTGCATTAGTTAATTTTTAACCTATTGAGTATTGGAAGGACAGGGCTAACTAACAAAGGAAATGGCAATAATACTAGATGGCCTAACTATTATTAACTAGCACATGGGATTTCCCTAATCAACTTGCTCAGACCGACAAAACTACTTTTATAAGCAGTGAAACATTTCAAACCAAAAAGAAAAATAAGTCCAGTTGCCATGACTCAACTTCTAGACAACTCTATCTGGATGATTGAGAATCTTGATTGACATAATGACATAATTTTAAATCCTTAGTTAAATGAACTGGAATAAGCTTTCAAACAGAAATAACAATAATTGCTATGCTCTGTTTTCTTATGTACTGCTTTTATTATCCAAAAAGTATTCTTTTTTAAAAAAAGGATCCTGATCAGATTGTTGCTTAGATGAAGCTCTGAAAGCAAGATGGATCATCGTACTTACTGAAATGTTACACTGCATTATAGGTTTAGAAAGATTAAACAGTCCCTTTGATCAAATTCCACGGGTATTGGATTCCATCATAGTGGAATAAATACTAGTTTTAATTCATTTGTTTATTTTTTCACATTTTTCAACCCCTCATCTCTCTCAAAGAGGGATTGCTATTGCTACCAGTACTAGTAGCAGTATGAGCAGTAGTGTGCATGCTAGAGTGGGTTCATACAGTTTTATAAGAACTAGTTTGTGAAAGTGTGAGTGCTGATTGAGAGCAGAAATAAACCACAATGCCTAGCATGCCAGTCAGCTGATGGCAGCTCATGGTGTGGCAGCAGTGAAGCCAGCAATGCTGGTTGTTATACATTTATTAGCACACTGCTGTGCATAAGCCAAGAAAGTTGGAGCTAGTGCTACAATGTACATACTAATATTTAACTCATTGTTTGATAATTGAATATACTATATATCACACTATATTGTTATTAATTAAAAACTCTAGAAAAGTTTTTTTTTCATTTTCCCTTTCTCTTTTTTCTTCTTTCCTTTTTAATTTTCTTTAGGGTTACGGTACTGTCATGTTTATTTGGTTCTGACTATATATTTATAGTTGTGTCTACAGTTTATATAGTTTTTGGTATGTACTTATGTCATT